CGAGTAAGCCTGAGTCCTGGAGCAGGAGATCCGGGCAGTGTGCCACAGTGCTCTTTATGGAGCTGGTGCTTATGTCCTACCGGTCCAGAGATTGCCTGCATGAGGCATGAGGGAGGCTGTTAAACTGACAGACAGTTCCGATGGTTGTGGAGTATGGTTTTAAAGAGTTGTAATGGAGACAGTAAGCTGCTGGCTTAATTGTAAAAGCATTTGCCAGGCAAGTGTGGCGATCTGAGTTCCGTCCCTGGAGCCTACTGTGGAAGGAGAGAACTGACTCCTGCAAGTTGTTCTCTGACAGCCATGAAAGCATTATTTGTACACGTGTGTACCCACATACATATACATACATACGAGAACACATGCATGCACACACATACACGAATGCACACATACACACACAAACATACATGAACACACACACAAACACACACCTGCACACTTACATGCACGTACATACACACACACAAATAAAATAATTGAAAAAAGAATGATAATGATCTGTCCATATCCACCCAGTGAAATGACGCAGACCCACTCTGCTACAGTACAATGAATCTGGGTCAGTTTGTAGTGAAGTAATATATAGATAAAGAAGAGAAAGGTAAAGCGCATATGCAAGTGACTGTGGTGAATTGTTCAACATTCTCAAATAGTAAAAGAAAATCTGAACCCCATAAATAAATGAATACATTAGAGTAAACGGGTAAAACAATCAATTGTGTTGCTGTAGATCAACTCTCTCTCTCTCTCTCTCTCTCTCTCTCTCTCTCTCTCTCTCTCTCTCTGTCTCTGTCTCATAACAGAGACTGCTAATGGACTTGGACTCCTAATCCTCCTGGATCCACCTGCCAACTGCTGGGATTACAGGCGCGTGCCACCAGCCTCAATAAACTGTCTAGAAACAATTCGCTCCGCCCATTCTCCTCCTTGCCAGCCTACAGCTTAGGGCCGAGCCCGGCCAAGCCTGCTGAGCCCACAAGGATCAGTCAACTTGCTGAAGCATGAATGAGAATACATGGTTGTTAGTGTAGGTCACTGGACTTTGAGGTGGCCTGCTATACATCATCTTATATTAGAATATAAGATCTTAGAGGGTAACACAGGACTTTTCTTTTTTTGGTAAAGGCTGTCTTTAGAACTGTTCCTTCTAGACGTGACTCCAATGCTTTTTACACAGATAAAGAAGTGGGCCAGGCACTTTCCTTTCCTTTCCTAAAACAAAGGATATTTTTGTTTGTTCTTTGATGCTTTCATACAAGTATACAATGTATCTCAATCACAGCCGTCTCCAATGCCCCTCTCCACTCCCCACTGGCCCGTTCAACAGCCCCCACCTTCGTGGCCTCTGCTTTTGCTTTTGATGACGCATTGAGTCTAGTGCTGCCTGTGTCTTCATGGGTGTTGCGCCAGCCTCCAGAGCATGGGAGCCCACCAGCAGCCACACTCCTAAATAAAAACAATTCCTTCACATCAGTTCCCGGAAGTGCCTCAGCTATGGCTAGGACCTTAAGTGCCCCTCCCCCCATTCTTGTCCCAATAGTGACCGACCCCATCTTCTGCAGGCAACCACAGGTGCATGAACGCAGGGTCCCTACATGCCCAGCCTCCCACTCTTACGCTCTTTCCACCCCTCTTACACCATGTTGTCCAGCCTAGGTCTGAGCACACAGCCGGGCACTTTTCTTACATCTGCGGCAGACACTACAAAGTGTCCCCTAAGAAAGCTCTCCCTTTCTCTTCTACAAAACAATGAGAAATCCAGAGTCCCGAAACCATCAAGAAATGGGGCTGGAGAGTTGGCTCGGCCATTTAGAGTACTTGTTGCTCTTACAGAGGACCCAAGTTCGATTCCCAGCACCCACACAAACCATAACTCTAGTTCTAGGGGATCTGATACCCTCTCATGACCTCTGTGGAATCAGACATGCATGTAGTGCTCACGCCTACATACACACAAAACAGTCATACAGATTTTTTTTAAAGTTTAAAATGTAAAATAATTAAAAAATACAAAACGAGGCTACAAAACCTGTGAAACTTTGTTACTTCTCACCCTGAAGATGCTGGGTGAAGAAGACCCTCCCGGAGGGCAGAGCCAGGCATTATGGGAGAGGGCACCCCTCCTGGAAAGCCAGACTGACTGACAGAGAGCTATGTCTGTATAGTCATGAGCTTTGACTTATATATTGGTAAGTCATCTCTCTCATTACTAGGAATTTGGTCCACCTCTCGAGAATATATATATATGGCAGATCTCCCAAATACTTTATAGGCCACATGTGAGGTATGAAGCTGAGTTTTGCCCAACAGGGTATGAACCAAATAGTCACATAGCAAGTTCTAGAACCTTCCAAAAGAAACATCAGGGATGCCGGGTGTTGGTGGCACACGCCTTTAATCCCAGCACTTGGGAGGCAGAGGCAGGCAGATCACTGTGAGTTCGAGACCAGCCTGGTCTACCAAGCGAGTTCCAGGACAGCCTCCAAAGCCACAGGGAAACCCTGTCTCGAAAAACCAAAACAAAACAAAACAAAAAAGAAACATCAGGGCTTCACCCCACACTTCCACTTTTGGATCCTGGTTTCTTCGTCCTTCTTTCAGTCTTGGGCACAGATATAATGAATGGCTGGGGTTGATGTAGTCGTTTCAAGCATGGGGTGAGTGAAGAAAGGGCAGCTTACACAGGATTAAAGGAGCCCAAATCTCAGAAGACTGCATGGAATAAGCCACCAAACCAACTCTGAACTTCCTGCCTCCAAATTCTAACTTGTGAATGTTACTGATAGCTACCATCTCTTACTCACACATGAATGTAGCTTGAATACAGCACCCAAGCAATGACACTTCATAGTCTTTATGTTAGGTGAAGGGGAGAGGACTCTCTGCTGGTGCTGTTACTATCAGTAGAAAAAATGCACCCATGGGCTGGAGAGGTTAAGAGCACTGGCTGTTCTTCCAGAGGTCCTGAGTTCAATTCCCAGCAACCATATGGTGGCTCACAACCATCTGTAATGAGATCTGGTACCTCTTCTGGCCTGTGAGCACACATGCAGCCAGAACATTGTATACATAATAAATATAAATAAATCTTTAAAAAATGCACCCTGGCCAGCACCAACTCCAAAACACAGTCCTCAAGAAAACAGTCCTTCGACATCCACTCCTGGATCAGATAATGCTATAACTGAGTGATGGAACTTCTGCCCAAACCAATACTCTCCATCCGCCACTGCTGGAAGAATCTAACTCTCCACAGTGTTGGTTCTTGACATTGCTCACTTCTCTGTGCTTTGAGCGAAGAAAACAGATGAGTAGCAGATTGCATACCTTAGCTGCAAGGGAGTCTAAAGAATTTTTTTTACTTCTAAGAAAAACAAAAAACAAATATGTAAAGTAAAAAATACTATCACTAAACAATTTAAAATATTTGAGGGCTTAACCAAGAGAAGTTCTCACAGTTCTGGAGGCTGGATATCAAAGGGCAGCGTGCCAGCATGGCCAAGTTCTAGTGAGGGCTCTTCTCCCAGCTTCCAGACAATAACATTCCCGAGGCACTCTCACATTACAGGAAGAGAGAGAGAGTGAGGCAAGTGGGCAGGCAAGAGAAACATTTAAACCCATGCCAATCACCAGGGAATGAAAAGATTTTAGCAGTTTGACCAAACATCCTATATTAGTTACTTCTACATTGCTGGGACAAAATGACTGACAATAACTACTTAGAAAAGGACAAGTTTCATTTGGCTCAAGTTCCAGGGTACAGCCCATCATGGCAGGGAAGGACTAGCCACAAGGTCTTGGGGCAGTGGATTAATTGCATACAGTCAGGGAGCAGGGGGCAATCAGTTCTTGTGCCCTGATAGCTTTCTCCTTTGTCTGTAACCCAGGACCTCCCCCGTAGACTGATGCCACCTACATTTGGGTCGATCTTCCTGCCTCAGTTAACCTAATCAAGAGACCCCCCCTCACAGAAATACCCAGAGATTGTCCAAGATGATGCTAACAGTGTTGATAATCAATATAAACCGTCATGTATACAACAACCAAGTTTTGGGGTGGGTATGGTGGTACACACTTGCGACCTTACCCCAAAATGCTAAGCAGGAGGATTATCACAAGTTTGATGCCAGCCTGGGCTGTATAACTAGTGCCAGCACAGCCAGGAGTACACTGTTAGCGTACAAGTGACACTGAAAAATCAGATCTATAAAATATTTTCATTCATCTCATCATCAGAAAACAATTCATTTTTTAAACGAAGGCAGCAAAGTGTATGCACAGGAGTCAGAGCAAGCAAACTGCCAATAAATTAGGAAGTTGCTAGAAAATGTGAGAGGGCAATGATCACACAATAATAGGAAAATGCAACGTCATAATGGAGAGAACAATGCAAACTGGATTTTTTAGTGAAGTTCCACTTTTCACCTGTGATATTGACATGCAACTGAACTTTTTCTCTGGGGGGGTGGTGGCATGGGGTGACACCTCCTGTCTGCCTCTCCATGTCTGCTCTTTGTCTTCCTCAGGTTCCTCTGTGCCCCAGGAGGCAGGCTTGCATGGACTACATCACCAGATTCTGCTGCCATCTGGTTGAGGTCAGCCCAGTAGGAGACGGAGGGAAAGGGTGACCCATGACATTCCCATAGCGCCTTCCCTGTGGGGCCACATTGCGCTCCCCCACGTGACTGTCTTCTGCCGGAGTCTCTGCTCCCCTGGCCTCCAAAGCTTTCGGAGGCATGATAACTCGCCCACTCTGACCAGCCCCCTCTCACACGGCCTTCAACATTCCCCCAGTGTGGATACTGCATTTGGTGTGATGAGTGGGCTCAGGGCGGATGGATGCCTGTCCACGAGCAATGTCATGTCTCTGTACCCACATCAGACACACACGGGCAGATATCTGCACAAAGGGCAAGTGGAAGGCTGTTGGCAACACCCTTGCTTACAAGAGTCAAAAATTAAAAGTCACCTAGATGCCCTCAAATAGAAAACAGCTAGACAAACTTTATTAATAAAATAACTATGTTCATATTGCACGGCACGCTGTGCAGCTGACTAAAAAGGAGGCAGAGTCTATTTGTATAACATTGAAAGACTCAAGACAAGCTACTACATGAAGAAAGACCAGAACCATAATAAATTTCATGTGTTCCACAAGAAGTATGGGAACGTTTTCTCTGCTTCTCCACAAGGAAGGATTACACATCACCACCACCACCAAAGGCAGCCGGGTGTGGCCATCGGATTTGCTTTGGCTACGGGACTGTGAGTGACAGTGGCATAGGAGACTTCCAAGCAGAAGTTTCAAGAGGCTCCATCATTCTTCCTTTTCGCCTACCATGAGCCCAGCAGTACCAGCTGCTTCTTCAACCTGTGTCCAGAAAGACAGCTGAAACTAACTCATAAAAATATGTGAAGAATACGACGTAAATATGAGCTGGGGAGACTGCTCAGTGGATAGAGCATTCCCTATACAAGCGTGATCCACATAAACGCTGGGCTGGGAACGGCAGCTGCCTGGTACTCCTGCCCTTTGGAGGAGGTGTCAGGGGAATCCCTGGGAATGGTTAGCTAGCTAGGGTAGCCAACTAGCTCTGGCTCGAAGTGAGAGACCCTGCCTCAGCGAATAAAGTGGAAAGTAATCAAGGAAGACGCCGACATCAGTCTCCGGCCCCTTCATGCATGTACACCCTCCCCTGACACAGAGAGATATTTACACCCTCCCCTGACACAGATATAAATCCAGTCTCCGGCCCCTTCACGCATGTACACCCTCCCCTGACACAGAGAGATATAAACCCGTGTGACTATGAGACCCTGAGGTTTAGGGGATGTTTGTTACTGCTGCACAGCCTCACCTACAACGCTTACTTGGTGCTGCTATATACTTGATCTGAAGTTACTTCCGGAGCAGGGAGAGCACATCGGAGGCTGACGAGCACAGGAAACTTATATATTTATTTTCATTTTCTTACACTGAAAATATATTCATGCATCACCATATAATAAAAATAAATCACTTAAAAGGAATATGGCAGGTGTTTTCTTACTTAAAATGAAATGCTAAAAAATATCATTCTTAAAATACATACACAAACACCCTATAAATTAATGGTTCTTTCTGCCCATCTGGTGCTCTGAAAAGGGAGACTAGAGGCAGAGAGCTCTGTGAAGCTCCTAGAGCAGGAGGAAGAGCCGGAGCATGCCAGTGCCTTGTCAGTCTCTCTTCGGGTAGAAATCTACACGCCTAGACACCCTGGAAAATGTATTTCTTCTGGTCTAGCTATCATGAAATTGAAACATGATTGTCTTAGAATGCTTTTTGTGTGTAGGTGCACACGAAGACCAGAAGAGGGCGCTAGATCCCCAGGAGCTGGAGGTAACAGGCAGTTACGAGCCACCCAACACAGGTGCTAGGAATCAAACTCAGGTCCTCTGGAGGAACAGTTGGTGCTTTTAACTACTGAGCCCATCTCTTCAGCCCCCAGGATCTTCTAACTTTATTTATTCATTTTTACAATGTAATGTCTACTTTTCCAGTAGACATTCTCATGACAAGTCATTTCAGGCAATCTAGGAGAATGCTGGTCTCTGCAGCACCACATCCTCTTGCCTAGTAACATTGGTAAGAACTATAAAACTGTTTTGGATTCCTCTTGTGGGTTTCTCTGAACCAGAGAGGAGAGACATAAAAGACCACTTGTAAATTATCGTGTCATAGGCTACTTTGAAATTTTAGCTTTTCTGCATAGCAAAATGAGAACATTGCCATAACTGCCTAACACATATGGTGACAGCCTCAGAAGCGGCAATGACAACTTGGGCCTCTCAGACACAGCTGTGGTGACTCGGAAACGAGTTCCCCTAGATTGCAGCTCTTTCCGGAGTTTGCAAGACCTAATTCCCTGTGTTCAAGCCCTTTCTGCTTCTAATACTGAGTGTGTGTGTGTGTGTGTGTGTGTGTGTGTGTGTGTGTGTGTGTGTGTGTGTGTGTGTGTGTAGCAGCCCACGTGGAGGTCAGAGGACAGCCTTGGGTGTTGGTCCTCAACTTTCACCTTGCCTGAGTCTAATACTCGAACGCACCATGACTGAATTGAGGAGATGGCAAAAGAGGAAGGCAGAGAGATGGCATAAAGTGGAAAGGGCAAAGATTCCAGGCTCACCCTCATTGGGGTGAGGTGTAGGGAGGGGCGGATACAAAGGAATGCAGGCAGCTCCCAGGAGCAAAGAGCCTGGAACACAGCCAAGAGGGAAGTGGCTGGAGGAATTAGAACTCAAGCCACAACTTCCTGAGCCTAGAAATGGATTCAAATATAAGACCTAAATCAGTAAGGATTGTCCCTCAGCTGACACGCTTTCACTGTAGAGTCTCAAAGCAAGGGGAGGGATCCAACTGACTCACACCAGACGCTTTCCTATCTACTGAACCATGAGATAAGAAACGAATGGGTTTTTGGGACTAAGGGTGTCTGTCAGTGAGTGGCACAGCACTTGTCTAACATTCATAAGACCTTGTATTCAGTTCCTAGCACTGCCAGAAAAGATAGGGAGAGAGATGGAGAAATAGGTGCTGTTTCAAGGAACAAATTTTGTAAGAAACTGTTGGTGCAGCTGTAAGAAATGTCTTAGTTTCCTTTCCTGGTTCTGTGATAAGATACTCTGACAAAGGCAACTGGAGGAAGAAAGATACAGTGTGTCGGTAGGGAAGCGACCTGGAACTTGAAGCTACTGGTACCCACAGTCAGGAAGCGGAGAACCGGCCTATGCTCAGTTCCCATCTCCGAGTGTACAGTTCAGCACTTCAGCCAGGGAATGGTCTACAGTGGGCCTTAACTTTCTTCACACCTTAACTAAATTAATGGAGATAAACCCACAGGCATGCCCAGAGGCTCATCTCCCAGGCTATTCTAGAGTTTGTCAAGTTGAAAACTAACTGTAACCATCACAGGAAATTGATACAGTAAGGGGTGACTAGTGATGAGTGAAGGGACTCTGGTCAGCTTGAGTGTGATTGGTATGGCTCTGGCAGGCCTTGTCCTTCTCCCCCATTCCCTCTACCTTGCCAAAACCCATCAGATTCCAGTCCTAAAGCTAGCCACCAAGATATACTCCCTTATTCCCTCCTCCTCCTGAAGCTGATTACCAAAGTCCAGCTACTGAAGTATTGAAGCCTAGCAATCAAAAGCCTAATTTGGCTCACCTAATTAACATGCCCAATTAAAATGGTAGCACATGCCTTTAATCCAAGCACTCAGGAGGCAGAGGCAGGTGGATCTCTGTGAGTTCAAGGCCATCCTGGTCTACAAAGCAAGCTCCAGGACAGGCTCCAAAGCTACAGAGAAACCCTGTGCCAAAACAAAACAAAACACAACAGTCAAACACCTCATCGTAACACAGGGTTTCCTCTTGAACCTTTATAAGTCTCCATTTCCCTATGTGCCACATCCGGCTACCCTATATCCAGAGACAGTCCTTTGTCCCTCTGGGACAAATGCCCCTTAACCTCTCCCTTGCCCCTCCTCCCCTCTCCTTTATTCCCTCCCCCTTCTCCCTCTCCCTCTAGCTCCTGTTTTTGTCCCTTATTCCTGTCCTCTGTCCTTCTAGGATAAATAAATCTTTGTGCTGAGAATTTGGTCTTGGGAGTCCTGAGATGATATTTTTTTCCTTTCAATGAGCATATGGAAAATTGAGCAAAGAAACAAAAGCTTTGCTTCTCTTTAGGACAACAGAAATTTGCACAATAATGAGAAAACTACCAAGGAAATACAGCTAGGCATGATTTTGTTTGCTTGTTTTTAGTCATACACACACACACACCTAAACACTGAATATGGACTTGGCTAAAATTATGACATAATTATTGTGAAAGGAAATATATGGAGGAGGCAAAATAGGTATTTACCTGGGAGATTTGTTTCAAGTCTTTTGTTTTTATTTTTTTTAAACTGGGAGAATTGAAGGAATGTTATGTGGGATATATGGGAAAGAACTGAGCATTTTAGTTAACAAACCACTCAATAGAAATTTCTAAAAGCTTGTGAGTCATGATCTTGCAGACAAAATGCATATTTTGGAATAAGTAGCAGAAGGTAACTGCTCAGAGACTTTTAAAAACATACATCATAAATCAGACCACAAATATATGAGTATAAATATATGTATATTATATATATATATATAATTTTTCTTTGGGGGCTAGGGATGTAGCTCAGGTGACAGCACAAACCTCGGGTTAGATTCCTCCCAGTATGAGGAGGTAGAGGCAGGAGGATCAGAAGCAGAGTCATTCTTGGCTACATAATAAATTTCAAGCCAGCCTGAACTAGAGACCTTGCCTTGTATCTTAGTTAGGGTTTCTATTGCTGCAACAAAACACCATATCAAAATGTAAGTTGGGGAGGAAAGAGTTTATTCAGCTTACACTTCCACATCGCTGTTCATCACCAAAGGAAGTCAGCACAGGAACTCAAGCAGGGCAGGAACCTGAAGGCAGGAGTTGATGCAGAGGCCATGGTGGGTACTGCTTACTGGCTTACTCTCAATGGCTTTCTTTGGGGTGGGGATTCAAGGAAGGGTTTCTCTGTGACTTTGGAGGCTGTCCTGGAACTAGCTCTTGTAGACCAGGCTGGTCTCGAACTCACAGAGATCCACCTGCCTCTGCCTCCCGAGCGCTGGGATTAAAGGCATGCGCCACCACCACTCGGGCACCAATGGCTTTCTTATAGAACCCAGGTCTACCAACCAAGGATGGCACCACTCACAGTGAGCTGGCCCTCCCACATCAATCAAGAAAATGTTCCAAAGGCTTACCCACAGGTAAGCCAATCTGGTGGGATCATTTTCTCAGCTGAGGTTCTGTTAATCCCACGGGTGAGAAAAAGACCATTACCACAATTTGCAGCAAGCTCTGGCTTGCTGATGGCCTCTGGCCAGGTTCATCTCCTGGTTTCCAAAAGCCATGGTTTGCAGAGGTTTAAGTGTTCCCTCTTTAGGTCCAAACAGGGGCAAGCATACATCCTGCCTAGGAACCTCCCGCCCACAGGTGACCAAGCATATCCAGTGAAGGAGGAGGGGTCACACACACATGCTTGTTTAGGGAAGTGAAAACATGTGACTTGTTGTCTCCCATAAACAACAGCCTCCAGCATTTCAGGAACATCTGTCCTTAGGCAAGGGCCTTGCAGATCACATGCATTTTTTTGTTTGTTTCATGGCTCTCTTAGACTTAAAATGTAGCTTTGACCCTCACAGTTCCCCCTTCCCAATGACTCTAGCTTGTGTCAAATTAACAGAAAACTAATCAGCATAGGCCCTAACAACCACAAATATATGTATATATTTGAAAAATAAAAAAAGCAGGAAGCCAGAGAGATGGCTCAGCATTTAAGAGCACTCAGAAGGCCAGGGTTTGATTCCTAACACCCACATGGCATCTTAAAACCGTCTATAACTCTCCAACTTCCAAAGGCACCAGGCACACATGGTGCACAGACATACATGCAAGCAAACCCTCATACACATAAAGTAAAAATGAATAAATCTTTTTTTTTTTTTTGGTTTTTCGAGACGGGGTTTCTCTGTATTGTTTTGGAGGCTGTTGGTCCAGCCTGGCCTCGAACTCACAGCAATCCGCCTGCCTCTGCCTCCAGAGTGCTGGAATTAAAGGCATGCGCCACCACCGCCCGGCGAATAAATCTTTTTAAAAGCTAAAATAAGTCAGGTATGGTAATGCACACCTTTAATCCCAGCACTTGGGAGGCAGAGGCAGGTGGACCTGAGTTTGAAGTCAGCCTTGTCTACAAGCTCGAGTTCCAGAGCAGTCAAGGATACACAGAGAAACTCTGTCTCAAAATTAATTAGTTAGCTAGCTAATTAAAATAAAAAACACTGTTTTATAAATAATACTGTTTTAAAAAAAAAGGAAACTACACATCCCTTAGAATCTACAGCCAACAGTAAAGTAATAATACTGCTATAGAGTGACATTGTTTCCTGGCCGTAGTTCACAGATAAAGACAATGTTTTCGAGTCACCAGCCAACCTACCATTAGAGGCTTGGAGCCTGTTGTTGGATGCCACCTCAGGAATGGAAGACAAGAGGCAAAACTACGATTCTTTGGCTGAAACCTCCCCTGAGGTTGTCTCACTTTCTGCAGTCTTCCAAATCCTTATGATGTCATCTCCAGGTCATATTCCACACGTAGAGTCTCCAGGTCTGAACTTTACAGCTATGGGATTCACAGCAGGACAGGAGCGCCTGTCCCCGATTTCATTCATTTGGAGCGGACGCAGCATCCTCTGTACCCAGCATAGGCTCGGATGTGGGAACCATTTCTGCTCTCAAGGAACTTCCGGGCCAGTGATGGGCTGGGCATCTAATTAACATGTACAGAATCTAACATTTAGCTTCAGACAAGAGGTTGAGCTTTTTTTTTAAATTCTCCTCTAGATCAATGAAAAATTCAATAGAATGACTCCCACTTTCTGCTCAAATTGTATGCCAAATCTCAAAAGGCATGGCTCCATCTTCACAAGAGAAGCAGGAACAAATTGAAGACGGCAGCTCTTCTCGGAGCCCGTGGAGAACTGGAATCAAGAGGGAAATTACTGCTGAAAATGAGAGTGACTAGAGAGTCACAGAAACGACTCTCTAATCACTCTCAACAGGGCTGCCTCGGCCAGGGGGCAGCCTCGGCCAGGGGGCAGCCTCGGCCAGGGGGCAGCCTCGGCCAGGGGGCAGCCTCGGCCAGGGGGCAGCCTCGGCCAGGGGGCAGCCTCGGCCAGGGGGCAGCATCCGCCACGAGACAGCCTCGGCCACGGGACAGCCTCGGCCACGGGGCAGCCTTAGCTGGACACAGTAGTGTGTTTATACAATGGTTGGGAGTCTCTAGAGGCTGAGCGAGGACTTCCCATTCCCAGAGCACTCCACATTGAGCTCAGCCACTACACCGTAAAGATCTAGACAAGAGAAGAGGGGAATTTTTTCTTCCTTTCCATATCACTGTGTTCGCTGTGGCAGAGGCCCCCTTTCAAAGGAAAATACGTTTATCAGAACCTCATCTACCCAGCGGAAAGCTAGTTAGACATCTCCAGCCTTTAGTTTCCTGTCCCACCAAAGAGAAGGAGGAAAGGCTAAAACGTATCTGGAAGTTACAGTCTAGGGACTCTGGCCTACTGAAATACAGGCCCCCACCTGAAAGAGACTTATTATAAGATTACCGAAAGTTTCCCCTATAGGAAATAGTATCAGTATGTCTCCAATGTAAACACAGGGAATTACAACTGAGAAAGCTGTGAGAGACAAGCTGTCACTCAAAAGAGTTTCCAGGGAAACTTTGACAAGGGAGCCAAATTAAAGAGGAAACTGAAGCCTTTGACACAGTTACAGTAAGCAGTAAACACAGCCTAACTCCAGGCAGAAAGATATAAATTCACCACAGGCCTTTTTACCTCAGTGTCTATTACACAATACATCATGTCTGCCTACTGAAAAAATTATAAGGCATGCTTAGAGCAAGACGATAAAACCTGAAGAAACAGAGCATGAACTGGGGTTATAACTCAATGGTAGCGCAATTGCCTAGTATGTGTGAGGCCCTGAGTTTTATACCTAGTACTGCACAGTGTGTGTGTGTGTGTGTGTGTGTGTGAGAGAGAGAGAGAGAGAGAGAGAGAGAGAGAGAGAGAGAGAGAGAGAGAGAGAGAGAGAATAAGTCAATTCTTTTTTAAGGGGAGAAAAGGAAATAGACACTGCAATAAATATACACTAGGGGACTGTAAATTAAGACAATAATGAGACACCAATGCACACTAATACCAATGGCAAATCTAGAAAACAACACAACAGAAACTGAAGTCTTACATACCAGATATAGGCATGCTCAGGGAGAAGCACTCTTTACTGCTGCTGTAATATACGGTTACCTTGAAAGATGGTTTGGGGGCTAGGGTTCGGATCCCTAGCACCTATGCAATAACCCAGGCATAGTATACATTGTCAATCCCAGGACTGTGGAGGTAGAAATGGGAGGATCCCTGGAATCCACTGGTCAGACAGCAGAGAAGAATCAGTGAGTGGCGGTTCAATGAGAGACTATGTCTCAAAATACAAGGTGAAAGGTGATTGAAGAAGATATGCAAGGCTGGAGAGATGACTCAGGGGTTAAGAGCACAGGCTGCCCTTCCAGTGGACCCTGGTTTAATTCCTAGCACCCACATGTGCAGATCAAACCCCTATACACATTATACATATATAATTTTAAAAAGGAAGACACCCAATGTCCACCTGTAACCTGAATGTATACACATACACATGTACATTTAACTGTGCACACACACATTAGACAGAGTTTTTGTTGTTTTGTTCTTTTGGTTTTTCAAGATAGGGTTTATCTGTGTATCTCTGGCTGTCCTGAAACTAGCTCTGTAGACCAGGCTAGCCTGGAACTCACAGAGATCTATCTGCCTCTGTGCTGGGATTAAAGATGCATGCCACCACTGCTGGGCTAGACACAGTTTTAATGTATAGTAATGTACAGTCTAACAGTCTTGCTCCTACATATTTCCTTAGATGAGTTGAAAACTGATGCCCACATAAAACTCGCACATAAGCGTCTGTAGTTCTTCCCGTTTGCTCTTGTTGTCTACTGGCTTTGGATCTTGAGGGAGTGTGTTCTTCCTTTTCCTTCTCCTAGCGCAGACTTGAATTTTGCCATCTTTGTATATAGTTTTGTATAAAGTCTGAATCTTTTCTTTAAACTAAAAGGGAAATTGTAGTGAGAGCTCTTACTAGACACCTGTGGCTCTGACCACGCCCATTTGGACATGGCCACAGGTGAGTACATGGGGTGGGTTACAGACCTGGGAAGAGGCAGGTCTGGCTCTCTTGGGGTTCCAGTTGGGTCTTGGAGACAGTTGATACTGCATGCTCGAAGTACTGACCCTGGGATATCGGTTTCTCATGTAAGTGATTTTCTATTCAATAAAATTAACTTACTTCATCTCATTCCCATGTACCATAATTTGTCCAGCTACATATCCACAGTGGTGTTAGTCATAATTGCCAAAGGCTAGATCAAGAGCTCCCTCAATGCTTCTATTGTTTCCCAGGGCTCTACAACAAAGTGTTTTCAACTAAGTGGTTTTGATACACAGACATCTATTATCTCACAATTCAGTGATTTTCGTCTAGAAGTCTGAAATCTGTGGGGTGTATTCTCTCTCAGATTCTGGGCAGACTCCTCCCAGGCCTCTGTTTCTACTGCTGCCGGCACTCCTTGGTGTTCTTTGGCTTGTAGCTACATAACTCTGCTCCTTGCCTCTGTTGTCACATAGTGTCGTCTGTGTGCTTCTGTATCCACATGATAGATTCCTTTTACAGATACCTATCCTATTGGGAGTAAAGGCGTGTGCCACCAACGCCCAACTAAAGGCATATAATTCTCAAATAAGGTAATATTTGTAGTACCTAAAATTTCGATTTCAATATATCTTTATGGAAGACACAAGTCATTTTTTTTCTTTTTTGGTTTTTTCAAGACAGGGTTTCTCAGTAGCTATGGAGCCTGTCCTGGAACTCACTCTGTAGACCAGGATGGCCTAAAACTAACAGAAATCTGCCTACCTCTGCCTCCCGAGTGCTGGACTAAAGGCATGTGCCGCCACCGCACAGTGACACAAGTCAATTTTTAAGAAATGAGTTATGGGAGCTAGATGTGATGTTTCACACCAGTAATCCTATCATTTGGAAGACTGAGGCAGGGGAACAGCTGTGAGTTCAAAGCCAACCTGGGCTATAGGGTGAGAAATCCTGTCTTTAAAAAAAGAATAGGTTAACTGATAAACAATCTGTGGTATACTCATACAATGGAATGTTATTCAATGATAAAAAGAAATGAGCTATCAAGCCACAAAAAGACACAAAGAAACTTTAAACCATATCATTTCATGGACGATATCAATCAGAAAATGCAACCTACTACATGATCCAACTCTCTCTAGAAAAGGCAAAACTATAAAGAGTATAAAATGTCAGAAGTTGCCAAAAGTTGGGGGTATGGGAGTAGTGATGAATGACTGAAACACAGGGAACTCTTAGGGTAGTAAATTTTTTGGAAGATAGTGGTGTATACATTACCTGCCCTGCTTTTCAGGATCTATGAGACTTTAAAAATACATAGAAGCAACTGGATGTGAAACTCTAGGTGTTGTTAAAGGTAATGTATCAACACCAGTTAAAGGTAATGTATCAATACTGCCTCACCAAATGTCACAGATGTATCACAGAAATATAACATGTTATCAGTTAAAGGTAATGTATCAATACCAGTTAAAGGTAAATCAACACTGTCTCACCAAATGTCACAGATGTATCACAGAAATGTAACATGTTATCATCAAGGGGGATGCACATTAGAATAGGGAGATCCTAGAATTATGTACTTTCCATTCTCTCTTCACAAGATAGTTATGTGTCCTTCTCCCAAGTCCCCATAATCACTGGCTCATTTGGTTAGTCCTGTACCACACTGTGCTGCTTAGACACACACTAGAGACACCTAGAAAGACAGAACCTCAATTGAGGGATCACCTGCGTCAGATTAGCTATGTGGGCTTGTCTGTGAGGACATTTTCCTGATTAATGATTGATGTGGAAGGGCCCAGCCTACTGTGGGCAGTTGAACAAGCTATGGGAAGGAAGCTAGTAAGCTGTAGTCATCCATGATGTCTACTTCAGTTCCTCCCTCAAGGCTCCTGCCTTGGCTTCCTTCAATGATAGACTATAGCACAAATAATAAAAACCCAGAGACAGATATTGGAATTCAAACTGAAGATTAGAAAAGCAAAACAGCCAGCTACTAGCTCTTACCTCTACCTCAGCTGGGGGAGGGATCCTAATTAGACTAATTGCCTAAGACTGAATGCCTGTTCCTATCTTATATACCTCTCTAGCACTAGGATTAAAGGCATGAGTTCTGTTTCTCTTTTAGACTGATTCCCTTTCATGTAGCCCTGGGTAGCCTTGAACTCACAGAGATCCATCTGCCTCTGTCTCCTGAGTTCTGGAATTAAAGGTGTGTCCCACCACTGCCCAGCTTCTATGGCTAAGTAGTGTGGCTACCTTTGCATTCTGATCCCCTGGCAAGCTTTATTAAATCATAAACAATATATCACCACAATGGACTACAATGTGGAAGTGTACGCCTGATAAACCTTTTCCTCCTAGGTTGTGTTGGTCATGGTGTTTTATCTCAGCAAGAAAGAAGCAAACTGGGATACACATCATATTTCACCTTTGAATCTGACAGTTGACAGTTGTGCCTTGC